AATATGAGATTCAACCTAAGCACTGCCTACTTAATCAAATCTAGGTTTTAGCACTTAATTTTAAAACAGTTGTTTCTACTGATTACTATAAATTGGTATGATCTGGATTGTAACAAAGATAACGTGTCAGAAAAGACTAGTGCCTAAGGATGATCTTTTCAAGGATCACCATCAATGAATGGAATGTACTTCCAACTCAAGCCAGAGGTTAACAAGTCACAAATATGCTCAAATATTTGTGTGTGTGTGTGTGTGTGTGTATGCATATATATATAGACATAATAGTTTTTACAAAACAACTTTTTTTTCAAATTAGAACAGTTTCGAGTACCACAAAAACTCAAGTATATTTTTCCACTTCATCTGTCCTCCAGGATTGTTAACAACAAAGAAGTATTTAATCAACAAGAGGGACAGTCCCAAAGCAACCATATTACTACATGGCAAAAACCAAAGATGACAGCACAATCTAGGCTTCAAACATGTGAACCTGAGCCATCCCCCAAACCAGATTATAAACATCCCTAATGTCATTGCTAATTTGAAGGAATGTGACTCTGGAAACATACGCGCCTGCAGTGTCACAATGATGTGCACTGACAGCCTTTTTTGGGCACACCGTTTTTTTTTAGGAACTGTTTTCAAGGCCCATTCTCAGACATGGTTCTACTTTTGGCTTCATTTTTCTCAACACTGATGCTGCCCTATTGGTTTCACAGGCTTATAAATGTTAAACATCAAAAATTAGTTTCACTTATTATGTTTGGAAAAGGCTTTAAGAAGTCTGAGATCTGTGCCTCTGAGCGAAGGCTTTATCAGCAGGTCGCAGTCACTGCTTCTCAAAAAAAGAAAACGATACTGATTAGAAACCAATATACCTGATTTCCAAGAGGACACCTACCATGCACGTATACATTATTTCACAGAGAGTTTCTGCTCCAAACTCACAATTACTTACTTCTCAAAATCCCATCTCTCATATCCACAGTGACTGGCACCAAGGGGATAAATATGAAAAATTAAATCTCAAACTAAACTATTTATTCAAGAATTCCATCTTGATTACTTTAGTTATTCTTCACAGCTGCTTAATTAACAGGGCATCAGTATCTTTCCAATGTCTGTGCCTGAAGAGCAAATACTTTCCAGATGTTTTTCCACTTATATAACAAAAAAATAAAATAGGGCCCAAATTATTGTTTTGTCTTTTAATCAGAATTCTTTAACCCCACACTAAATGAGCTTAATTTATTTTACTAGAACAAAGCATTATATTTGTATGGGAGTAAAAAGAACACTTGAGAAAAATGTTTACTGTCCTTACTGCTTAAAACATCACGTATTTCAAAGCAATCTCATTTGTCATAAAGTGTGACAGGAAATAACTTTTAAAATGAAAAATACCTAGTCAATATTATGCAATTCCCATTTCTAAGACAGCAGTATGACAAAACAAAACACAAAACCAAAACCTAACATCCTCAAGTGCACAGGTCTGAGGCCCCTGCGGCACTGACAGGCAGCTGCAAACGGCAGGGAAAGGAAAGCCCCCAAGTGAACACTGGTGAGGAAGACAAGGTGGGTGTTAATAAGCAACCGCTGGTGGACACAAGGCCACTGGTAACCCCATCCCCTCCCAGGGCATCAACCGTTCAGGTTTACTGAGATATTGAACATGGATACATAGAAGATTCTATAATCCAATACCTCATCTAAGCCAAATTTTAGATTTGGTTTGCCAGGTGAAGACGAAAAATACAATCAAATAATACTTTAAAAATCTAAAGTCATTTGACAGCCACCATAATAATAATTGCCCCAAGCAGAAAAAGAATCAGCAATAGATGTTAAAACTAGTGAGTAAAGTATAATAAAAACCAGAATATTTACAGTCTCAAATCATCTCCCATCTCTCTAAGCGATACTTATTAATGACGCGGAACAACAGTAATATTATAAAGAGAAACTGGAGACACACCGACTTAACCAAACAATCAAACCAACATCATCCATAAATGAGACGGACACATACCACGTTCCCCGTGCTAGCTTGCACTAAGGACACAGCATCACTTCTGTGATATTCCTGCCAAGAATGCAGAACCTGAGTCTAACCGCGAGGAAACAGACAACCAAACTGAGGGACATCCTACAAAATGTCTGGCCTCCACTCTTCAAAAACACTGAGGTCCTGAGAAACAAAGACAGACTGAGGAACTATTCCAGATTAAAGAAGAGTAAAGAGACATGACACCAAAACGCGACGTCCTAGACTAGGAAAAAGGAAATTTTCTTTTGCTATAAAAGAAATTAATGAGACATTTAGCAAATCTAAATAAGGTATAGAAATAATGCTAAAGCAAATGTTAAACGTTAACATTTTGAGTATCTGGGTGAAGGGTATAAATAGGAAATCTTTCTATAAATTTTCCAACTTTCTGAAAGTCTGAAATTATTTCAAAACGAAAGATCTTTTAAAAAAAATAAAATGTGCTCTACTCTTAAAATTTGAGCATTACTAACTACCCTCAAAGGAACACAGAACCAGCAGTAAAGAAAACGCTTCCCCTTGCCTCAGGCGGGGGTGCTACTAAACAGACAAAGACAAGAAGGATCATGTGGAGCGCACATTTCAACAGCAGACTAGGCTCTGCGCTCTTCCTCCTTCCTTCAGCAAGGCAAAGATCTGAGGAGGCTTACTGACCTGGGGTCTCTTGGCGAGTCACAGTTACCTTGTTATTTGGGAGAGATCACAAAATGCACAACTCTTGGGTCTTCCAAAAGGAAGACTGGACAAGCAATGACAATGGGACACCAGTTTGTTGAGTCCTATGATCCTGAGAGAGCAGTAAATACACAGAAGTCCATAGCGTTTCTGAAAACAACCAGGCAGCAACACCGTAAGGCCCTGCTGGTTTTTATTACATGTCTATCTTTAGCTTTACTGGAACTATCTAGTCAACTCAGAGACCAGCCGTGTGCTGATGGGTGCAGGCATCTGCTGGAGAGCAAACAGTAACAAAGACCCAGAATTTTTAAAGGGATTCAAGAGACATGTGCTCCAACATGTGGCACAACATGTATTTAAGTATCAGTTCTCTAAAGTTTTGCTCCTGACTCAAATGAGGCAGATATTCACAGCAGGCTGCCAAAATCTTCCACACTCCCTATTTAAGTGTGACCCAGACTGGTGTTGCTGCCTTATGAGCCTTTCAGTCCCTGAAAGCCCACTTAGACCTTGAGCTACTCATTACCCTCATCACGTCCTACCGTGCCTACCCTCCCCATCCTTGCAGCCATATCTACCCACTGGATCCGTCCCCACCATTCTCTGACATTTCCTAGTCAACTTCCCAAAATTTGGAGATAAGATATATTCCTGGTATAATTTACTATATTGTATATATTTGCAGGCTGGCCAAGAAACTTAACCACTACTTCTAATGGCACTTCTATTAAAAGGTAAGTTCCAAGTGCCAAAACAGTCTACTTACTAGCAAACAGTCGGTGCTATGTTTGTTGAATAGAATTTTAAAGATGAGCTTTAGCACACAGCTGATTTGTAGGGATAAGGGCCCAGATAGCTATCAAACTGAAGAAGCCACTATAATAATCAACAACTAACGCTGACATCCTACTGAGTTTGCGGCACCATTCAACAGACTGTCAAATTCATTTTATTAAAATGTAACACTTGTATCTTTCTATCTGAAAATACTGTAATAAAATGCTATTACAATCAACCCTCCATATTTGCAGATTCCTCATCTGCAGATTCAACCAACCATGATCGAAAGGCCTTTGATGGTTGAGTCTGTACTGAACATCAACAGACTTTTTTTCTTGTCGTTATTCCCTAAACAATACAGTATAACAACTATCTGCATAGCATTTACATTGTATTAGGTATTATAAGTACCCAAGATCATTTAAAGTATACGGGAGGATGTGCGTAGGTTAAATACAAATACTATGCCATCTTATATAAGGGACTTGAGCATCTGCAGATTTTGCTATCTGCTGGAGGTCCTGAAACCAACCCCCTGTGGATACCGAGGGACGACCATATATTCCATGAATGCTATAATCAATGAAATCAAAATACAGCTACTTTAAAGACGAAAGAGAGGAAATAAACTGAAAGCACAAGAAGTATCATAGAAAGGGAAGAATGAATCTTACAAGAAAAAAGCAAACACTAAATTTTTTTTTAATATTTACTTTATTTTTTGAAAAGGCCACCTACTTGCCATTTATGATACTTCTTGCCTATGTCCCAAACTCAAGCCCATAGCTTTACAATTTCCTTTAAATTAACCATTAATAAATACCCATATATATACGTACACACACACATTATACACAGAAGTATTTAATGTGACAACTGATTTTAAAAGGGTTAAGGACAAAAAAAAAGATAATGTCTGAATCCCTAAGCCTCATTTCTGGACTTCTCTTTCCTCTACATAAATACATAAACCTCACCAGATACTTACGGCCAGCAGCCAAAACTAGAAAACAAACAAATAGCCATCAATGGTAGATCTTTTGATATCTATATCTGATGATGGAAGAGTGGAACAGTATTTCCACAGAAGGATTTACTGAAATAATAATTTCATCACTAGTCTCAGATTAGAAAAAACGCTCACCTGCAGGTGAGTAGGAAGAGTGTGCATGGCCAACAGTTTACAGAGATGACCAATGATGCTCTCCACGCAATCAAACACCATGAGGAGTTATAGTTTAAGAACAAGGTCAAGGAGATAGGGATACGCTAAAAAGGAAAGCCACAGGAGAGCTTTCTTGCTAGAAAGGACAAAAAAGAACTACAAAACAACAACAGAACGTACGCCAGTATGAGCTCTTTACATGTGACTTTTCCTAGTGACAAAAGAGATCAAATATCTGAATAGTGAACTTACTCATGATTATAAAAGAATGTACATTCATTTGAGAAAATTTGGAAATACAGAAAATGTGCCATCAGTGTGACTCACCTCTCGAGTAGCTAGCTGGTTGCTGAGCTCCTCCGCCTTCTCAATGTCCCACTCTTCCACAGCCTGGTCTACGCTCTTTTCAAGGCCTGACTAGAAAGAAGAGAACCCTAAACCTTAAAGGCAGGAAAGAAGAGCAAACATTTGCTAGCAAAGACTATGTCTCAAGACGTCACCAAACACACTGCCCACTTAGACCACTGAATTCTCACCGTGACCTCACATCATTTACTGACGAGGAGAAGGTGGCTCAGAGACATTAAATGGCTTATCCAAGGTCATATAACTTCTTAAATTAAGGAAAAAAAGAGATGCAAATCCAGATTTTTGTGACTCCAAGGCCTAAGCTTCCTCTTAATAACAATAATAATAGTAGGAAATTATGGCTGCTTATTATGTGGTATACCCTGGGCCTAGTGCTATAAGAAAGCTCATTTAATCTTTAGAACAACTCCGTGAAACAATACAGCTATCCTGTTTGGAAGAAGAGGAAACAGAGGCTTAGCCTCAACAACTTGGCCAAGGTCACAGAGTCCCTAAGTGGTGAGGACATTGCAGGAATCCAGGTTTGCGGAGAGCCTGTATTCTCAACCATGATCTTCCCCTGCCTCTTTTCTCTGCTGCCCATTTCTGTAGCTTGAGACCCTCATTCAACAGCCTCTCCCAGTCTTTGACTGTGGCTATTAATTGGATATTAAACATTGGAGGAAAGTTAATATATAAGAATGACTTTATTTTCCTACGGAAATATTTTTATTTCCTAGCTGAAGATACTTCAGGAAATCATAATTAAAATTTTCATGGGTTTACTAAACAGACTAAGTAGGACTCATCATACGCTTATGGAAAGACGCTTAGTCTTAAAAAATTGAGTTTTAGCTTGTGGAAATAGTTACTACAGAAAACATAAATTTTAAAAAGTAGTCTAATATATGCTTCTTGCAAGAAACTTTCAACCTAACCATGGCTTATCTACTGCATCTTAGTAGATGGATACCAGGAATGAAAATGTGGAAGGGACATTTTCAGTTAATTGACTTCTCCCTCCTCATCTAATAAAAGAAATCCTGGGAATGCCTCCTCCATCAGTGCACTGCTTGATTATACCAGTCACCTAAGAGAAATTTTGTTCCGCTGTAGCACTTTGCTGAAATGAGACCTAAAAAACACACACACATAATTTGCCTAAAAAGATTATGGAAACAAGGACCAGTGAGGTTGTCACTGATGTCTGTGTCAGGTGAAGATTTTTCCTTCTCACAATCCCTCAGCCCACCTAAGGACCTGAAAGGATGATAAACAACTTTTTCTTATTCCCAACAGAAGCTTGAAGCTTTCCTTCAATTATCTCTCAGGCTGTGACCCAAGGCCACACAACTCTACGTTTTCCCATTCTGGCTCTGTCTCCAGAAATTTCTCTCTTGTATTTCTGCAGAACTCTTTTCCTGATGGTCCAAACAACACCCTGGACTCACTTTTCCAACATCCTTCATCTTCAAGGACCTCTAACTCCACCCGACTTCGGTAGTCTATACTCAGGCCAATGTCACTCTAAGCATGGTCTGTGTACCAGTCTGGTCTGCAAATAGTGCCAGTCCATGAATGGAGCTTGTGCCAGCTACCCATCGCTGACTTTTGGGAGTGATGGTAAGGGAGGAGAACAAGACTTTCTCAAAGAAGGAAGTAGTACAGAGTTACATTCAGGCACAGGCTCCTTATCTCTTGGAAGACCAATACTGTGAGTAGACTTGATCTAAGGCCATGTAGTAGACATCACCTGAAAGCTCCATTTGCAAAGCTTTATAATCTAGAATTCTTCTCTCTGTCCTTCACTAATCCCAAGTCTTCAAAGTCACTGAACCTGCCTTGTCTTCATTTGGACCCCATACCCTGGCACCACACATTTATTCTCACAGTCCTTCAGTCTCTTCCTGGATTCTCTTATCCTCTCTCTCTGGCCTGCAACCCATGATCAACCTTTTCAAACTAGACTCTAAGCCACAGGTTCTCAAAGTTTGAGTTTGGACCACAAGCATCAGCATTACCTGGGAACTTGCTAGAAACACAAATTCTCTAAATCAGAAACTCAGGGAGTGGAGGCCAGCAATCCATCAATTCTAAGCGTGCTGAAGTTTGAGAACCACCGACCTGAGCAGTGCCTTCAGTGACCTCCAACATCTTACCTTGTTTTGGCTATTCCCAACCATTGTTTCTATTATGTCCTTTAACATCCAGGTGTCCCAGCAATGTTCGAGGAAACCAAATAACTCAATTCACTGGCTTCACTAAAAGCTATTTTTGAAACTCAGCTGAGTGGGCTCTCAATTCTGCCCTTGAAAGTTCCCACCACATTCCTCTAAGAAGCTGTTATACATCTTTTCCATTTTTCCAAATACCCTCAACCCTAGCTCCTTCTCTCAGTAGATTATAACTCTACGCCCTACTTTATGGGAGGCCAAGGAGGGGGGAGGAAGGGATGAACCAAGGATATGTAAGTCCTCTCTACTATCTTCCTCTCATCCACCTCAAAAGGTGTTATCTTCACTTACTCTGTTCCCCCATCCTTACTGCCTCCAAGAATCATCCTCCCTCACAAGACTAATCCCACCATCTGTGCTCATCATAATCCCATACGCTTACATGCTATCCAGAATCCTCCTCTTCAAATTTTCTCCTCTCTTTTCTTCATCCTTCACCCTACAAATAAACTTGTCCCCCTCAATCTGCACCAGGCTAGATGAGTTAACACAGCCTACTTTCCTCAAACAGATTTCTTATGTTGGTACTTCATCTCTCTCTTGTGTAACAGTGTATCAGATGCCTCCACATCATCTCCCATGCAATCCTCTCTCCCTTCTGTCTTCATCATTCTTCTGAAACTGCTCCCCCTACCCTCATAAGTGACATCGTTTGTCTTCCTATTTGATCTTCTATTATACCAACTATATCCCCATTCTTAAAACTATCTCCCCAAATATTTATCTTAAATGTCCTTTGATGCCCTCATCTCCTCTTGTTGACCCTTAACTATAGTAGTCCTCAGTTGTGTGATTGGCCTCCTTTTCTTCTTACTTTTCACTCTGCCCAGTAATATATTCAGTCCCAGGGCTTCAATTACTTCTTACAAGCTGCTTTATATCTCTAAATAATTCAAAGCATCTGACCTCTCACCTGTATCAAAATCTACACCTCCAGCTACTTGCTGGTTATCTTCATACTGAAGGCCTTGCAAAGGGAGGGTCTTCAATTTTTTACAATGGCTACAAACAAGCTCATCACTTCCTGCCCTGCTTTCCTTAGGAGCTGAGCACCCACTTAGTTCCCCCTGACAGAATCCTCAGATATCTATCTTCAATGCCTCCAATCCTTTGCTCTTATTTCAACTCTTTTTTGTAGTCTCTCATCCCTCCCTTCTGTGCTTCTTCAGGGCCTCATCATCTCCTGTTTGGAAGATTATAACCATCTCCAAACTGGTCTTGTATCTTTCCAAAGCAGACACCATGGCACTACCCAGCTCAAAACACTATCACTTCTTTACTCCTCTTGAATAACATCCAAATCCCTTCACAATAGGGTCCCAAAACGCTTTCTCAGCCCCATCTTGGGCAATGCTGTACTCACTAATCTCTAGCCAAATTTACCATTCTCTTTATGTTCTCTGTGCCTCTGATGTGTTTCCATTTGAAAAATCTTTTTTTTTCTTAAAGATTGACAACTGAGCTAACATCTGTGGCCAATCTTCTTTCTCCTTCTTCTTCTCCTCAAAGCCCCCCAGTACATAGTTGTAGATTATAGTTGTGAGTGCCTCTGGTTGTGCCATGTGGGATGCCACCTCAGCGTGGCCTGATGAGCAGCACCATGTTCACACCCAGGATCCAAAACAGTGAAACCCTGGGCTGCCGAAGCAGAGCGTGTGAACCTAACCACTCGGCCACGGGGCTGGCCCCTGAAAAATCTTAACCATCCTTTAAGTCTCATGTCAAATGTCACTTTCTCTATCTTTGCAGGTTCCCACATCCCTATAAACCCAGTGACCCTGCCACACCCTTCCCCATGCCCAGGACTTAACTGCCCTGCACTCTGTGCTGTCGCTGCACTCCACATCTCTCTTCAGCGCTCGCTGGTCTGACACAGCACAGTGGGTTGCTTATCTGTCTCCCCTCTTGGGTTCTATGCTAAGAGCAGACATGTGTGTTACTAGTTTGCTGTGTTCCAGCATCCAGCCCTGTTCCTCTTATACCAGAGGCATTCAATCAGCCTGTGTTACTGAGTTAATATTCACAGTGCAGTAATCCATGGCTGCATTAGTATTGAAAGGACCCTACCCAAATGGGGACCACTTATTACATATCCACCACTTTGAGAAGTTTCCAAGAGAATTCCATAACAGTAATATTGGGGTAATAATACCCCTAAGATTAAAAGACGGATCACATTTTATTCACTTATTTATATATAAATTTCTCCCACTACTAGGATATACAATCCTTGAGGGCATGAAGAATATCTTCCCCATCTTGGCTCTCAGAGCTTAGCACAGTACCTGCTCCTGGAACTTTGTATTTATATATTTTTATAGAGGAAATAAAATATTCTATTTAAGAAATGCTAATACAATGGTCTCTCCTTCCTGTGTAAAGTATTAGGTATCCCCTCAAATGCCACTGAGATATATGAAAACAAAATGCTAATAGCAAACTTCAATTTTTCCTGTACCACAAATTCTGGAGTAGCCAGACACAACAACCTACACATTAATCTGCTCCAATCTCTCATCTCGGTAAACTGGCCACTAACAGCATCCTTTCTTGAGCTGTTCTGCTTCTTCCGCATAGCAGCCGTTTGTTTCTTTCCAATTATCTAGGTTTCCTGAGATTATCTAAGACCAGGGTGCTCCATTCCTTTACTCTAGAATCCAGAATAATCGTAGATCAGTGAGTAAAAAGGAACCCCCATTTTTACCACCAATGCCCATGAATAAACCCGTGGTCTACTTATTAGGTCATTATGCTACATCAACTTGGTAAGTTAACTTCCCTTTGGTTACCTTGGAGCTTAAAAATTCATGTCACAAAGGGAAAAAGAAAACATTC